AGGGAGTGATGGGCGGCGCGGAACGGCGTTCTGCCGTGGTGTGCCTCCTGTCGGCCGCCACGGGAGGTCCCGACGCCGCAGAAGACGCCGGCGAGGGCGAGCCAGCATGCTATCGACGCCAGGAAGGCTCCACGCACGCGTGTGCAGCTTCGGACAAGAGGAAGAGGCGGCGAGGAACGTGCCAAGGGCACTGTGGCCGCGTGACTGAAACTGACGGACTGAAGATGACACTGAAACTGAATTTTCTGAACTTTGAACAGTAACAGTGCCCACCAGGTGTTCGACCGAATGAAATTGGCCTCTGGTGATTTTTCCTTGAGCTGATTTTTGGTGGAGTGGCTTCTCCTTGCTCAAGTAGGCTGCATGATTTTTTGTGGAATTTTTGGAGCAGTGTGGATATGAATTTCACCAAATTTGGCAAATCTGGTCCAAACTTGCAGAGACTGCATTTTGAAAAATTTGAAAAGGGGAGGAGTGGATCAAGATGGTTCTGGGTTGTGGGTTCAAAGGACAATCCAGGAGAATTGGTTTGAGGTCAAAACTCAAATGAAAAAGTGTACTTGCTTTGAAAATCCCTCAGGCTCCAAATAATTTTCAGAATTGAATTGAGGGGAAAAATAATTAGAATAAAAATCCAAAACCAGTTTGGATTAGTTGGGACAGAGAATTTAGGTTGATCACTAGGGGGAGGGGAGGTTTTGGAGGAGTTTTATCTCATGGGCAAAAATACAAAGCCAAGGGTGGCTTCAAAGATAAGAAAAACCCAAATTTTCATAGAGCTTCACTTAAAAAAAACAAATTAAAAACTCCCAAAAAAAATTTAGATTTTTAGAGGGGACTAACAGAGAAGAAGTTTGCAAAAGATCAACCACCAAAGTTTGAAAGAAATAAAATCTTTGCCAAGGCAAAAGGAGGTTTTTAAGAGGAAGGTTTTTCTGAAAAAGAATTTTTTTTTTTAAAAAGGTCTCTCCTCAAAACCACAAAGTTTTGATAAAAAACCAAATAAAAACTTTGGAGTGTCACAGAACCCTACCAAGCAGTACAACCGGACAGGCGGGCGGTAGTACCGGCTCAGAAAAATAACCGGACTAACCGCCTGGCCATCGCACAACCACCGCATCAAAACAGGAGCTTGACCGGTACTTGGGCGGTGCCTGGCCGGAACAAACGCATGGCCTTGATCTCTTGGGCGGCTAAGTTCTGAGCGGAAGAACCGCTCGGACCACCGGTGGTACCTGTCATCGTGGAACGACCGGACCAACCGGGCCACTACCGCCCAAGAACCGCATCAAAACAGAAGCGCGAGCGGTACTTGAGCGGTGCATGGACGGAACCACCGCCCCAGCATTTGCAGAGCATGGTGACGGTACCACCGCCCGGAGGCAGCGATACAACCGCTCGAGCAAAGCTGGTGAGCGACAAGACCCAGCGGTACAACTGCTCCAGAGAGCGGTACAACCGCTAGGCAGAAACAGTGAGCAGGAAGGATAGGGGAAGAGACAAGGAAAAACTCTCTCTCTCTCTCTCACACCTGAGGAAGACAAAGGAGGGGTGATGAACGTGTACATGAAAAGATTCCCCCAGTGCTTTCTAATGAGGATTCCCTCTTGATAGTACGGGTTCCCTACGACCAAAGAGAATAAAAGCGTAGAGGACACGTCTTCGATCTTTTCCTACGAGAGGCAATAGCAATCCGATGTAAGCCTAAGCATCGAGAACCTGAAACGTATAGCACACGATTAGACCAACAAAGGGTTGTCATCATCATCCAAAACATAAAGTAGGGAAATGCCTTTTCACTTGCCTCGTTCGATATCGCGATCTCTTCACGGTCGCTAAAGATCGGTCCATTGCAACCACAACCATCTGGTTTGCAGGGCATGGTTCAGCCAGCACAGATTCAGGATCCCAAGTCCACCGGTCCACTTGGGTGCACATACCTGGCTCCATGCCACTGAACATTTACCACCATTGGTCTCTCTCTTAGCGCACCACACGAATTCTCTACATATCTTTTCCAGGGCCATCAGTATCTTGGACGGCAACTCCAGGGCCATGAGCGCATGGATAGGGATTGCGCATAGCACGTATTGGATCAATAGAAGCCTCCCGCTTTTAGGAAGTGATGCGCCACGCCACGTAGGTAACTTATTCGCTAGCTGGTCCACCGGATATTGGAATTGGGCTGCAGAGAGCCTGCGAATGTTTAACGGTAGCCCTAGGTACTTACATGGGAATGCCTCGATCTTGCAGCCCACCAAGTCATGCGTCAGCTCCACCTCCTCTGCTGAGCATACTGTTTTGAAAGTTAATTCTTAGGCTCGATGCAACCCTGAAAGCCTCGAGGGTTTCAACACAAGTCGTCAGTTCCACCTGTCGTGACTTGAGGAACAACATGACATCGTTCGCGTATATCGATAAGCGTTGATGCAGGCCTCTGTTAGCCAAAGCCTCAAAAAATCATGCCGATGCCGCCCTTGAGAACATGTGATGGAGGACTTCTATCACTAAGATGAAAATCATAGGCGACAAAGGGTCGCCCTACCTTAATCCACTTCTTGGTGAGATTGGCCTCCCCAGGACTCCATTGATGAGAACCCTTGTGGAAGAAGTATGAAGCAATCCGCAGATCCAGTCCACCCATCTTGAGCTAAAACCCATCTTGGAGAGGACCTCGATGATGGAAGACCATTGCACCATGTCAGAAAGCTTTAGAGATGTCTAGCTTCATCATGATTGTAGGGACCCTAAGAGCATGTAGACGCCGTGTTGTGCCTTGCGCCATCATGAAGTTGTTATGTATGGATCTCCCTCGCACGAACGCGCTCTGGTGTAGACCTATCAATGCTGGCAGCTCCTCAGCAAGACGTGTTCCTCTCCATTCAGTGGATCTTAATTAAGAGTAAACATAGCTGCGTTTTACTTATGCTGTTGAAATGTTCTACCAGGATTATGGGCTACAAATGAAACTGCTCAAGGTGTTGTGCTAAGTGCCACGGTGCAGCTAATATCTTTTGTTGATTTCTGTTACAAGCATGCATGCATGCATGCATGGAACATGAAACATTGGTTTTCACTTGAACTCTTTTAGTAGTCTCAAAAGTGGCTTTCGCCCTACTTTATATATAAAGCAATGAAAACAAGATACTGTTAGTAGTCTAGGCTTCGTGCCTTCCAAATGCATAGCTAAACCTCCACTAGGGATCTACACATATCTCTTGCGTAAAACTCTGATGAGAGCACTGATTTTGTTAAAATTTAAATACACCTTCCCTGTAACTCACAAGGAAGGTATATCATACAAAGCTGTACTGCAAAGCAATCTTGAGTACAACTTGTCTCTTTCATCCATCTGCAGGGTCACATGGTACTGTGGTCATATCATTTGGATGTTACTAGGACACTTCCCCTCCATGTATGCTAGTAGTAACATGGTATGCCGCATTGATGGGACGTAAAAAGTCGCAGCATGATCCGATACTTTTGAGCCATTGGCATTCTTTCGCTGGCACGTCAACTCGGAACTTTCTGTAATTTGTTTTACCTACTTGTCGCAATGAAAAATCTTCCAGAAGCTTTTGAATTCCGGTAGCTGTTTTTTTTTTCGGATGCCGGTAGCTGTTTGTTCACTAGCTGACTAAAGGCTATCATGCATACGGGTCCTTGGAGCTTGGCTCGTAGGAGGATTACCGGCCAGTCCATTTCAATTCACCTGTGGTAGTCGTCCAGCAAGCTGGCGCCTCGATCTTCACCGACGACAATAAGTCGACGACTCACGAGCTGGCGCCTCCCTGCGAGCAGTGCTGCAAACAAATGTTGAGGGACATTCTGAGCCAAATGATGTGCAATGGCTGTAGATGGAGCGGCGCTGCTTGCGTTTCTGAATGAAAACGATGTGACGGGCGCAATAATACGGGCGACGGTGTCAGCTGGGGCGGGTGTGCGGTTTGGCTCGGCGTCTGCGGGTCGCTGTGTAACGTGCCTTGGCAATGGGTTGGTTTCGGAGCTTAGCTGAGGCTGCGACGCAAGTGGTCGCTGTGGGCATGATGAGACCAAAAGCGCCATTGATTTGCCCTTGGTATCATCCATCCCTGCTCGCTCGTTGCGTGTGCTTACAAAAACACGTACAGCTGGTCCATGGAACCCGATGCGTTGGTCGATTTGGCCCTTTGTAGCTAGGGCTAGGGCTTTGGTCTCTTGCAATCGGCAGCTAGCTGACTAGCCCTGCTTGGCTTGGCTTGTGTAACAAACTACCAACTGGCCGGGTCAGCCAGCCAGCCAGTCTTAGGCACATCATGCAGAGGAAGCTAGCGAGCTCTGCTTAGCTGGGCACATGCATGCATGGTGCACCATCCGGGTATGCATTATCACTCTGACTAGCTTAATCAGGGTGTTGCTGCACTCTGGTAAGCTCACATCTCTGTGCGTCAACTGTTAATACATAATATGCATAGCATATGTGCCTAATTCCATCTGAGCGACAACTTATTCCGGACGGAGGAAGTATGCTGTTACAGCTTGTGCTTAGACTTCATGACAACCGAAATGACTTCTGTTAAGGCTTTAGCTAGGTTTGAGAATCAATCTCTGGACGGACACCATCATGCATCGGCGTATTACTGCTGAAGTACTTGGTACATTGACAGATACGTCCTGAGCTAGCTAAAGGTTTGAGACAAACCAAAGAGGTTACACATATGGACGATGCGATGTGAGCCACGTATTCCTGTCCTTCACTAGGCTCCAACGGGGCTCTTAATGTGCCAGCTAGGAGAGGTGCGACCCCCTCCTTCACATGCATGTATGCATGCATGGCCCATGCAGTGCAGGGTACCCTACACCGGCCGTCACCAACCAAATCACATGCGTGATACACACATACACGCCGTCTCCGGCCGGTCTATATAAACCACCCACACCTTGCTAGCTTCCTTCATTAGACACACTTAAACCCTCCTAGCTCACTCTCACCAGCAGTACCTACTAGCTAGCCGGCAGCAATGGCGTCCAGGACCTTCTCGGCGGCGTGCCTGCTGGCGCTGCTGGTGGCCAACACGTTCCTCGCCGGCGATGCCTGCGGCAGCTGCAAGCACCAAACCCCGCCGCCGGCCTCCCCGTCCCCGCCCCCACCATCGCCGTCTACGACGCCGTGCCCACCTCCTTCGTCAGGCGGCGGCGGCGGCACGTCGTGCCCCACGGACACACTGAAGCTGGGCGCCTGCGCCAACGTGCTGGGCCTGGTGAACGTGGGCGTCGGCAAGCCCCCCAGCGGCAGCGGCGACAAGTGCTGCAGCCTCCTCGGCGGCCTGGCCGACCTCGAGGCCGCCGTGTGCCTCTGCACCGCGCTCAAGGCCAACGTCCTCGGCATCGTCCTCAACATCCCCGTCAAGCTCAGCCTCCTCCTCAACTACTGCGGCAAGACCGCCCCCAAGGGCTTCCAGTGCGCTTAGTTCATCAGTTACACTCCAGCAAATCGTCCATCACTCAGCGCATGCATGCATCGTCAGTGCATGTATGCATGTATGTTATTTTAGTTGTTCATTCCAAATTTGATTTCATCATGCAATAATCGGTCGGTTGTTAAGTAGTTCTTCTTGCGTGTGTTAATTTATATGCACTGCTTTGGCGAGATTAATTTGTCCTAGTTTGGCTGTGTACTACAAGAGATAAATACGATTGGGCGCGCGCGTGCGTGTGCTTGAACAGTAATTTCATTAAGCATGTGTAATACTTGTGTATTTGTTTGATGAAATGTAATTTGCAGAATATTCATTCATTCGTACCTTGCTCGCTTTTTCATAATCCATGCGTGTACTTTACTTAGTACTACTATAACACAAGCTAATTTCATTTCTTGTCTAAATTTGAAGCTGATTTCATCGTTTTTTGGAACAATACAATAAGCTTGGTTGATGTAAGTGTATGCACATTGCGATGTTGAATGGTCCTGGCTTATGTCCAACAAAATATAGTGTATGTGCAGTAGGGTATCAGCTAGTATGTAGCCATGCAAGTGCCAAGGTGTGATTCCGCGGTTTTTTTTTTTGAGAAATAGTTTTCTAGGAACATTTTTTAGAAATAGTCATGATTCATTGTTTTCCATGGAAAGCAGATGGGGTAGCAGTATACCAGGCCATCTGTCGGGCCGGGCGGGGCTTCGGGCCGGGCCTACCAAAGCCCGATGCAAAAAACCAGGCCGAGCCCGGCCCGGCCGTCAGGCCTAAAAATCAGGCCCGAGCCCAGCCCATCACGCTAAAAGACCGTCGGGCCTTGGGCCACAGGCCGGGCCTCTTCCTTAAATGGTGAAAACGACGGGCCTGGGCCTGGCCCGGCCCAGCCGCCGAGCTCAAAATCTAGGCCCGGGCCTAGCCCGGCCCATGCCCGGCCTGTGGGCAAGGTCGGGTCAGGCTTTTTTGGGCCGGGTCGGGTCGGGCTGTCCGGGCCGGGCTGCCCATGGCCAGGACTAGGTAGCAGGGATGGATTTTGTGGCCCATGTTTACATGTGGCCCACTTGATGGGTGTGGCCTACTTGTTTACATGTGGCCCACTTGTTGGATGCACAACCAACTTTAAAATGTCAAATTGTTCTAAATGAACAAAAGTTTAAAATGTCAAATCGAGAAATATGTGAGCCCTGTTAACTAGGAGTAGGAAATTTTCTCCATTTTCTTCAAACACCATTCAACTCCCAAAATTTATGTTTTTTCAAGATTTACCAACCAAGATGAAAACATGCTTCATGATAGTTAGTACTAGTAACAAAAGTTCTCCATCTTTATACTACTAACATATAGTACCCCAATCAATATCCAAAATGTAACTAGTTCTATTATGATAACATGATGTCTGTTTGCATGCCAAACTTAGTTGCTTAATTTCCTGTGTCATGGTCTAAATCTCATATAGACGATCGTTTATACCATCTTTCGGAGATGCTCTCACTCTGGAGTATGACCTAAGGTGGAGTCTTGATCAGATAAGCACTTGAGCTAGATCCCGACTATGCCATACTAGGCCCGCTAGACTGAATGTATGCAAATTACAATTTCAATCAAATAAAAATAAGAAAAATACAATTATTCACTGAATTTAATTCCTACGGAGGCATGCAAACAAGCAATTGCGGGACTAGAAAGCCAAATTAGAAATTTGTCTTAATTACTTCACCAAATTCCTTTCCTAACTTAGGACATGTTTGGGACTGCCCTGCTCTCCCTAAAATTCAGCCCCGCTCTAAGAAGGCAAGCCAAACGGGACAACTCCACGATGTCTCGCTGTACAAAAAAAACCTAGAATATATAGTACAACTCCCATGATGCTCTTCGGGGGTGCTAAGAAAACTTCAGTTTGAAAAGTCCTCTTTGAGTTGGGGGAAAGGTACCCACAACTGCCATTGGTAAGTGAATATCCCTTCATTTCATCTCTCCACGTCATGCAGCCCCCAATAGACTTTTACCACTAAAGATTTCCATTCTTTTACCTGGAGCAAGATGGAAGCCAAACATGATAAAGTGCTCTATGATGGAGATGCAACTCCTAGGTGGGACCGCTCCAAAGTGGATTTGATGAAGTGAAGCTGATTTTGATGGAGTGAAGCCATGCCAAACATGCCCTTAATTAACACTACCCACTTTACATGTATTGTTGATTAATTTCCGTTGATTGTTTATCCGAGGAAATGCACATCTAGAAAATGGGGTGTAGAGACCACATGTAGGATCACATCAGTCACCTTCGGTGAGATAAAACACACAATGTGTCTAGGTTCAGACCCTGGTATGTCCTGCCATTTAATCTTTGTTGCAACGTCAAGAACAACGTACGTCAAACCGAGCAAAATGATCCATCGGTGTTTATTGCAACGTGATTACGAGTGATGCTATAGGTACGATATATCCAATACGATTTCAGTACGACGTTGCATAGCAACCTTTGATGTATCGCGCAAAAGCAAGGGGTGTCCGCTATCATATGGGAATCGTAAGTTCAAGTGTCCTACTCAGACTACCTTACTTTCGTACCGATAAAGAGCTGAATCGGCTATCCGCCACTTTGGGCAGGTTCTGATCACTTACTATAACTAGATGACCAGTTGCGCCAAATGGCGCAAAGACCTATTTAAAACCATGTTTGTGTTGAAAATATTTGCATTTTTCAATAACCGTATATTTGAGTACATTTGGTAAGAACTTATACCCCTATATAAAAAGAAAATTAAATACAAATATTTTATTAAGGTAATAATGCCACAAATTAGATCATCGGTAGGTCAAGATAGTTGAGTCTACAATTAGGAATTCCGAGTAGCTGTAAACTTGCATTAAAAAAAAAAGTAAACACAAGTGACACAATAAAATGTACTTAATACATGAACTCGTGAACATTGTGTACAGGAGAAGTTAATAGAAATAGTAGTCAACTACATCATATAATTTGGTTCTATACTCTTTTGTGTATATATCCTGAATGCTACCCATTTGTGATCAACTCTTTGTCCTTCGAATCAAATGGCACAACTACTGCCCCTTGTGGAAAAAGAAAGGACTCTATAATACTCATAAATGTAAAAGGAAAACATCATGTAATGCATCTCAACTTGCGCAAAGCAATGTAAAAACCATACATGCTATCTACATACTCTCATTGTCTGGCAAAACATAAGTAGCTGAGGGACCCTGTACAAAAGAATTGACAATTCACAAAAAGAAGCATGCCATCAGCTGTCTAGACAACCATAAAACAATAAGTGGCAAAAGCTCCATCAGAATTAGCATTTGCATTCCAGTTTATGAGCTAAAGTTAGAGCATACGGGTCGATGAAACATATTAAGCATCAGCTATAAAACAAACTCTATTTTCCTAATAAGACAACATAGATATGAAATGGGCAAACTCTATTTTGCCATCCAGTTTATGAGCTAAAGTGGAAAGCTATGGTCACTGAATTTTAGGCACTTTTTTTAGCAAACACAGTAGGGTAAAAACCCTACTGTAACTCTATTTTTTAGGCACTTCACCGTATAAACAATGGCCATAATACATGTTTATGGCTGACACCTCACGAGCAGCAAGCTTCAGTTTTACACTATTTAGGAATGCATACAAGCAAGTCCTGACAATTGAGATTTTCAATCCGGGACCAATCAGATATATGCCGACAGCTAGAATTCTAATTGGAGTCATTCCCACCAGAACGCGCTTTGTATACTAAATAATAAGATGGATTGTTTTGGGTTTATAGCCGCCATAATCAAGGCTCTAAACCTGGTACTATTTGCATGATAATGGGGTGCTTTCACACATCAGCATAAAACCAAAGAGTCATTCTTATCCTGTAATAGAGATACTATTCTTTTCACAAGCTCTTATTTTTCTACCCATACTAAGTTGTGCCCCTGTTTAGTGCTGACACTACAAACTTTAGTTTACGTGGGTGTATGGACAATATATAAAACATGAACCTGGTGAAAAAATACAAGGGATTACCTAAATACATGATGCTACAATACATATATTTTTCTAACTGGAAAATAAGCCTATTACTTCCTGCTCACAGATTTTAGTTCATTTCTAAACTCTGCATTATATTGAGACAAGCACACTACATCTATATTCTGCTATAACACAGATTATTGTTACCTTACTATGGAAGCAGCTAGAATTATTTTGTGGTGATAAAACTATGGAAGCACGTTGGCAATACAATTATAAAATATACTATCTTCAAGGAAATCTGCACTTGTAGCCCTGTTTGATAGCAAAGTACTTTCTATGTATTTTGAGAATAACACAGTTTTTGAGATTAACACAGTTTTAATTACAGTGAGCTGTTTGGCTACCACTAAAAACTGTGGTTTAAATTACAGTATTAAAAACAGTGATCTTAATACTGTAGTACTTGCAAAATTATCATTTTTTCTCTGTATTAAAAAAGAACTGCATAACTCGTTTTTTAAAACTGAGCACGCTGAAAAACAATCCACGGGTGTATTCATGTGCCTCTCGACACACATTTCCTGCTAGCTCTCGATGGTGACACGGAAGAAGGCCAAGACGGTCCCGTGGTGCCCGCGACGACAACACAGAAGACGGCCTGGCGTTCCAGGCCATATGAAGCAGCAGCTCAACCTAGTTCAACTCCTCCGATTACTGTGCAAGCTAGCTTTGTGTATGGCCATTTAATGCATATAGCCGTTCAGTTTGCAACGGCCAGCGAGCAGGGTACACGCGTGTCTGCGACTGTTAACAAATGGCCAGCTCTCGTCGCCGCTCCACCTTCGGCACTCCGGGAATAAAAAAATAAAGTGGATATTCATTTTTGTGGATGTTAGCAAATAAAAAATGAAACCAACTGGGAATAGAAAACTTAAAAGGGCAGTAAGTAACAACAGAAACGGAGATAGAGAGAGATAAATGCATTAATCCAGCTATAAGTAGTAGGATAGAAATG